GGGCTTTAGGGTTTGGGGCTTGAGGGTTTGGGGCTTTAGGGTTTAGGGCTTGGGTTCCTTTACGGGGCTCCTTTTTCGGGTTCTTCATGGGTTTAGGGTTCAGGGTTGTAGGGTTCTGGCAAGGCTTCTTGAAAAGAGCTTTAAAGGTTCCTTCAAGGGCTCTATAAGGGTTCCTGCATGGCATCCTCTAAGGGTTCTAGAAGGGCTCCTTTGCGGGTTCCTTCAAGGGTTCTATTAGGGTTGGTTTGAGGGTTCCTTTAAGGGCTCCTTTGAAGAGGGGGGGGTCTGTCATCAGGGATGCTGCAAACGTTCTGCGAGATAGGGGCTTATATCCGAAGAAAACCTCAAGAGCCCCGGGACTGGACCCGAAACCACCACCTACCCAAAGTAGGGCTATACGGTTTAGGGTTTTAGAATTCAGGGTTTACTATGGTTTAAGGTTTGAGGGTTTATGCTTAGAAATCGCAGACCCTGGAAACCCTGAAATGAACAGTTAACAAAATCATTCCTTCGGGCTCATGATATGACTGTCATGTAATGTACAGCCAAAAGCATACTCTAGGCACAAAGGCCCCTAATGGTGTAGAAACCTTATGGACCAATGGACCCCTCCTAAACCCTAAACCCAAAGCCCTAAACCCTAAACCGAAACCTCATGGACCCCAAATCGTAACCCCTACCAGGCCCAGGCGAAACACGGAAGCTCAACACCCAGGATCCTTCTTCGTGGTTTTTGCGGGTTTTGGACCGGAGTTTGGATCTTGGGGTCATAGGGTTTAGAGTTTGGGGGTTTAGGGTTTAGAGTTTAGGGTTTAGGATTTAGAGTTTAGGGTAAAAGTGAGCCCCAACCTTGGTGAAACATCCTGATTGCCCCAAACCTTAAGCCCTAAACCGACCTCGATGAACTCGCTGAGTGTGATCTGCCCATCTCCATTATCCAGGAATTCGAACAGACTCAAGAGGTCGTGATAGTCCAGCCTTGCTTTGGGTTTAGGGTTTAGGGCTTAAGGATTAAGGTTTAGGGTTTAAGGCTTAAGGATTAAGGTTTAGGGTTTAGGGGTTTGGGTTTAGGGTTTAGGGTTTAGGGCTTAAGAATTAAGGTTTAGGGTTTAGGGCTTAAGGTTGAAGATTTAGGGTTTGGTTTAGGGTTGAGGGTTTCGCCGGGCTCTGGGTTGAGTTTGAGCACCCCAAGTTTGGGGGGGCGACGGTAGTGCTATGGTTCAGGGTTCAATGGTTGAGGGGTTTAGGGTTTAGGGCTTAGGGCTTTGGGTATAGGGTTTAGGGCTTAAGGTTTAGGGTTTAGGGTTTAGTGGCCTTTCGGGTTCGGGGCTTGCGGGCTCAAGGGTTCAGTGGCTCACTTGGAGGATCGTGGGACTTAGCAAGTCTGGTTCTAAGTACCTGCCTTGGGCTTATAAACTAATGACAAGTATAGCTACCCGAATAGTAACCCAAGTTACTAAGTCCCATCATAACCCTAAACCCTGAATCCTAGCCCCAAACCCCCCTCTTGTAGAACCCTTACAGAACCCGTAGTGGTCCCCTTAAGGAACCCTTTAAGTGATAAGTCCCATGATCCTTTCAGTAAGGCGTTCATAAGCAGGTCAGAGGTGAAGTGCCGGGAGATGGATGATAGGACCATACCCTAAGACCCCAAAACCCACTTTTTTGTAGGTTCCTATTATAAACCCTAATATGGGATTTATAGGGACCCTACAAAAAAGTAGGTTTGGGGTTCTTAAGGTAGTTCAAGGCTCTGGGCTACATGGCTTCTGTAGTTTAGAAATTGGGAGATCTGGGGCTTAGGGTTTAGATGTCGGGTCGGGGGTTTAGGGCTTAGGGTTAGGGTGTCGGGTTTCGGGTTTAGGGCGTTTTTGGGGGGGTGTTGGGAATTGGGGGTTCATAATTGCTCTAGCGAACCCTCTGCACGGATGATGCTCTGCTTCGATCACGTCATGAGGGTCAGGTGTTGTTTGCATTTCCTGTCTCATGTCTCGTCTAGTTGGACTCTGGATGGCCAATGGGAAACGACTACGTCGACCATCCAAGCATGATGGCGAGGCGAGGACGATCAGGAGATAATGACTAAAACCCACACCCCATAGACCCGAGCATCATGGTAATCCCGGTAACCTGCCAAAATCTACCTTTTTTGCAGGCTCCTATGATGAACCCTGATATGGAATTTATAGGGACCCGAAAAAACGTAGATTTTCGAACTAAACCCTAAGCCCTAAACCCCCAGGTTCAGGTACCCTTAGAGCTCGATTCACCAGCCCATGTTCCGGAGCTTCCATCCTTCGAGACTCAACGACCCAAAGAGCCATGATCTTTTAAGCAACCCTGAAACCCCCCTTATAGAGAACCCGAATAGAGCCTTTTCGACCCCTGAGACAAGCTCGCTGTTTGAACCCTGAGAGATCCCTTCTGCCTTATAGAACTTCCACAGATCCCTTTTTGAACCCGTAGAGCTCCCTTTTAAAACCCTTATACCTTAACCTACCATAACCCACAATTTTTGTAGGTTCTTATTATAAACCTTAATATGGGATTTTGTAGGGACCCTACAAAAAAGTAGGTTCTAGTAGGTTAAGGTAGAACCCTTAGTTAGCGAACCCCTTTGAGGAGCCCTTTAAGGTTTGCCCCAACTTCTCATGGCAACACTGCTAGAAAGTCAAGACCGGACTCAAGACGCCAAGCCGTTTTAGTGGGTTTGGGGTTTGGGGGTTCAGGGGTTTGGGGTTCAGGGGTTTGGGGTTGGGGTTTGGGGTTTGGGCGTTTAGGCGTCTAGGAGTCTTTCTTTGCTAAAGCCGCCTGCTGACCCAATGTACTCCCTGGGCCCTACTACACCCGACCGACTCCCTAAACTTATAGCCCTAGACCCTAAATGCTGAACACTAAACCCTAAGACCCGAAGACCTAAACCCTGAACCCCAGACACTAAACCATAGCCCAAACCCCGAACCCTAATCCCTAGACCCTCATTCCTATTCCTGAACCCTAAAACGGGCACGGCCGAGAAACTCGAGCTGACTCATCCAGAACTTCAGCTTGGGCGATGTGACGAGCTTGGAAAACTCCTGGTTAATACTCGGATTTAGGGTCTAGGTTCTGTTTTTAAGGGTTTAGGGTTTAGGGTTTAGGGTTTAGGGTTTAGGGTTTAGGGTTTAGGGTTTAGGGTTATAGGTTCTGTTTTTGGTTTCGGGTGTAGGGTTTAGGCTCTTGGGTTTTGGGCTTTGGGTTGCTTCTGTATATAAGGTTGCTTTGAAGGCGATTATATAGCGGTCTGTGTGTCTCTGGTTCAGAGGCTTAGGCTTCAGGCTGGTTCATGGGGTTCAGGGTTTAGGCCTCTGGGATTTAGGCATTTAGGATTTGGGGTTAAAGAGAACCTCCTAGACCCTAAACCCTGAACCCTAAACCCTAAGCCCTAAACCCTGAACCCTGAACCCTAGACGGGGGCCAGGGCTTGGGAATTCAATGCTTCCCGAGCCTTGCAGAACTTCTCTCGGATCGGGATCAGGGTTGACGTAGTGTAGGGGCCGTAATAATGGGGTTCCTTTAAAGGGTTCTTCTTTTAAAAAGGATACCAAAAGGGTTACTACAAGGATACAATATAGGGGCCTTAATAATTAGACTTGGTGTACATTATACTATATTGATATTAAGGAACCCGCAAAATAGTGTAGGTAATTCTGAAGGCCCCCTATTTTATTTTGCTGGAAGGTTGGAAGCCGCCCTCCAAACGGCTGGAGGTTCACCAACAGCCAATAAACCCTAAACCCTAAACACTAAACCCTATAAACCCTCTAGTTCCAGAACCCAAAGCCCTTTACAATTGTAACATCAGCCCCCAGAGACTCCAACATCCCTTAACTAAGGAGTATGCCTTAAATCTTATTAGGGCTCCCATTATGAGAAGGGGGTTTTGGAGTCTCTGGGTTCCTCTGGGGGCTGTAAGAACCTAGAGACTCACCCTAAACCCTAAACCCTAAACACTAAACCCTTCAAAGGGTGTGAGGGCGAACCATCAGAAAATGGCTTTCTGGAGATTTTTCGGGCTAACTTAATTAAGGCTCTTAAGATGTGGAACTAAGGGCTGCAAGAAGACCAAACTCTAAATCCGAACCCCACACCCTAAACCTTCTCTTGCGTGGGGCCTTGGGAATTGTAGGTTGAGTAGGGCTTAGGGTTTAGGGTTTAAGCAAGCCAGCAAAACCGAAAAGCCCACTCCTAGTCGCAATCAGGCTGCTTGACTCAGTAAAAAATAACTTGTAGCCCTGCTGCCTTTTCTCGCTAAGCTTCCAAGTAGAAGTTTACGAGTACGTTTTTGTTGGAGCCCTTCATAAAGGAATCATAGAGTGTCTAGGCTTTGCGATCAGCGCAAAGCCCAAATTCTGAACTCCAAACCTACGTGGGTTAGAATTCAGACCCTAAACCCTAAACTCTAAACCATGAGTTTGGGGTTTAGGAGCTTAGGGCTCAGGATTTCCAAGGGCATGGAGGTCTCCTCGAAATTCAGCGTTCCGTCCCCTGTCTCGTCCATGGTTTGAAACAGCCTCTCATGGCACGACCATGGGTAGTTCTCTACCCAGAGACCCCAAAACCCCTTAATCAAGGAATATACCTTAAATTTATAATCGGATCCCTAATATGATTTAAGGTGCATTCCTTAATTAAGGGGTTTTGGAGTCTCTGGGTAAGCTACTGCTGATGATAAAAAATCCTGCATTACCACCATAAAACTATGGGAATTCTGTTATAGTCCTTACTGTGCGAAATCCTGCATTACCATAAGGACCCAGAACTATGGGAATTCTGTTATAGTCCTTATTATGGGAAATGCTGGATTTATAGCATCAACCGTAGGATCCCTTTTGTGTTTCCGAATATGGTGTACCCTGAGAAGAAAGGACCCTACCAGGGACCCGACTTTGGAGAACCGGATAATGAGACGTGAAAGCCCGCGACTCAAAGAGAGAGGTTCATGACGGTTTAGGGTTTAGGGTTTAGGATGATTTAGGGTTTAGGGT